TTTGGGAAATACAGCTTATTTTAAATGACTATATTAGGATTGGAAACCACAGACATTATTCGAGGGTATCTCTTAGAAAGACTCACAGACTGCTTAAGAACTAAAAGTGAACTACTCAAATCAGGATTTCCAGAGTAATCATGAACTATAAAAAGAACAACAGTGTAGACACTGTCAAGGTTCCATCAAAAATGAATAATAAGAAACACTAAATAAACCTGGAATTTCCCACCTCGTGTACTTTGTTTTATCATCCAGAGGACATTTGCCATCAGTAGAATCCCACACTGAATCAAATATGTACACAAACTTGTATGAGTTCAAGGATGAACTTATTGTACCTAAATCTCTTGCTTTAAAGACAGCTGTCCTTTGATGCATATTTTGTTAAAACTGTGTTCGATGAATATCTATTGTGTTTTGATTAATACTCCAGCTCAAACTCTTTTGAAAGAAGGATGTCCATATACGAAGCTTCATTACTCTAATACCCATATGACTGTCCTCTCTTGTAGTTTGTACTGAAAGCTTCAATCTTGCTCAGAATGTAGGGATTTTGTTTGAATGCCAGCTTTTCAAAGTTAATAGAGAAACCATGAAAAGATCCATATTTGTGTGAATGTACACATATGGGTGTGCCTATCTGCATCATCACAGCATCTCTCTCACACACGTACACACCCTCTCTCTATGCTAAATCTGCCTCCAATTAACCAAAAGCACAATTTTGTCCTGACAGGGAACATTTCATTTGGTCCACATATGACTAGGGAGCCGATTTCATTTCCTGTAAAAAACCCCCTCAAACGCTGCAAAGTTACCTGACTCAGCTGCTTGTAGAAATCAAATTCAGTCAGAGATAACAGCTAATCATTTGTCACAGTAAGAAGCAATTCCCTGAAATCGGAAGGGAAAACCTGCCGCTTCAATCCGCAGGTCTGTCAGATTGCTAGAAATTACATTCTGCTCTGACTAACCTCTGCACTTGGGTTGCTAACAACAAGCAGTCTGCTCTATCAAAAGAGAATATCATACAACCAGGAACCGCTTTTGATTCGCTCTGGTCCAATAACCTGAGAAAAGTTTATGGACATGCCTTGCTGCCTGGACCTCAATTTCCACCAACCTGCACACTGTTTTGAATTTATAGCGCTGCAGCTCCATAGTAATATAGGTAAAATTTACTGGCTGACTATCTGCTACTTCATTGAAGGAAAATTAAGACTTGATTTTATAACTGCAAAACTGATATTTGCTTTCTGATGCTTTGAGGAAGCACACAGTTTGGAGGTTTCAATTAAAATGCCAAAAGAGAGAAAGCAAATTGATTAACTCTCAACACACAATTTATATTTTTTAGAAATGCTTCCCGGGAGGGAATTAACTTTATACTCTTCTATGTAAACACTATTTGTGCAGAATATCATAAGTTTAATAAAAATGATGTATCACCTTCCTGTTAGATTTATAATTTGCATAGAGGTGGTGAATATGGGATTTTGGTCAAAATGTTTTTCTCTCTCACATTCTACATGCAATAGTGGCTACAGTATCATTGGAAAGAAGTGAGTTTAATATCTTACTCAATCCTAAGATAATTTGCATAGAGGTGGTGAATATGGGATTTTGGTCAAAATGTTTTTCTCTCTCACATTCTACATGCAATAGTGGCTACAGTATCATTGGAAAGAAGTGAGTTTAATATCTTACTCAATCCTAAGGAACCATTACTATTACTTAAAGGTTATTTCAAGGTATTGTATTCACTCCCATGAAGTTTCTGATTTGAGTTAGAATCACAGAATCTTAAAAAAAAAAAAAGTTGATGTTTTGCAAGCAATACTGAAATCCTTTTCTTCAATGCTGACCAGATTTATAGGAACACATATACTACAACTCTTTTATATAACCCAAAGATGGAGAAGTTAGAGGGCAGTGTTTAAGAAGCCTGCCTGTAAGACTTGAGTCTATCCCAAATTTGTTCCATTGTGTTTTTTTAAAGCATTTTATTTTCCACAGTTGGAATCAGCTGAGGATAGAATGTGAACAGTGACTCTGAATTTCCTTTGCTTTTGTCAAACTGTGTCACAACCGTAAAGTTATTTTAACAGAGTTTATTTGCCTAGGCATTTCCTCTCTCTTGTAGCAGTATAAGAGAAAAGGAAACAACAATTTAAAATGTAAGTAGAGTTGAGTGGCAGTGAAGGACTGTTCTAGTTCCCATCAGATGCAGATAATTCAATGATCAGTATGGGGGATTTTTAAGCTTTAAAAAATATTCATAAATCCCTTTTTGGCTTCTTTCATTTCAATTTTCCTCAAGTAACTGCAGTGGGAATTAGACAAGTTTGAAAGATCTAATTTCTTTTTAAGACCAGTCCTGATTGCTTCTATCATGATTAATACTGACTCAAATGGGGAACTCTTGCAAATTCTTCAATATATAGTGTATTTCATGTTAAAAAAAATCCATTATGTATACCCCATCACAATAATTGATATGGTTAATATGTTTGGTGTGATTATTCTACAGACTTCCTTGAAGTAACTCTATTAAATCATCCTTTCTTGGTTGAAAACAATGCCCTTGGTCGCAGATCCAGCTCTTGCATGGCCATCCGTACAGGGGCCAGGGCATAAGCTCTCGTACTGTACAAGAATGCTAACAGTCCAATTTCACAATCAGATTGCAGTGACACTCAGCCTTACCGTGCAGACTCTCCTTACTGACTGCTTTCTCATCTTGGGCCAGCTTAGGAATCTGAGAGCCTGCCGCAGTTACAAAGAAATCACCTGACCATGAAGTTTCCCTTCTGTCTATTTTCAGTCACTCCAGCCCTCACAGTCACCATGAGTCAGGGCTCCTCACCGTAGCCCTGGCCAGCACGACTCCCCCAAAGGGGTATACATACCTATCCCAGGGGAAGGCATGGAGAAGAACATGTGCTATTACTCCTGGTAGACGTTCTACAGTTTCTATATTTCTAGTCTCATGTATGCCTTAAAAACCCTTTTCTTCTAAGTTTAGGGGGCAGTTTGATATTTGTGGGTATCTACTGGCAGCAGAACTTGTTCACAGACCTTTTTCACTTGATCCTCACAACAGTCCTTCCAAGATGGAGGCAGTTGTTCTCATGATTTTATAGATGAGTACACAGAGATGAGCAAATTTTAACACATTTTCCTCCAGATCACCTAATGCCTGAAACTGGACCTGATTTCTGACTCCTGATCCTATCCACCTCTAGTGTCCAGCTGTGCATTTTCTTCACCTCTCGGGCACATATCTGAGTCAGCACACAGAAGTCAAAATGGGATTTTTAACTATTTAGCATAGTAGGGTAGTGTAAGTGTAATGTCCTTGCTCATCTGGTTCAAAGAAACAACTATGCAGGAGAGAGAAGGAAGAGAGAACTAAAGCAAGGCAAAGAGCAGCTACGTTGGAACTTGGAGAAAAGTCGGGTTAATGTAAAGAAGAACACCTGATCTGCAGTACGTTAAGTTACATCCATCATTTGGAGATTGAATAAGTTTTATCTTGCTTGACAGTTTTTTGAAACTTTTTAATTTTTTCATAAAAACTCATCAAAGTTATCTGCCTATCTTCTACCATATTCATTCCTATTTCTCAATCTAGCTGAACATAAAATTCAAGTGGATTCTACAAATGAACAGACAGCTGCCTGCTAAGTAATTCACGTACATACTTTTCGTTGACATTTTTCCTGTCCCAATTACTGTTTCTTTCAGGATTTGAGGTTAGATATTCCATTAAAAACATTACTCTTTCCAATGTAGTAGCAATGTTAATATGGATATGCTATGTGGCTGCGATAGACTCTGTACTATACATGGGAACGTAATGCCTTCCTCTACAGAAACTTGAAATTGGTCCTCTACTGTCATTATTTCTGGCTATTTTTTATGGCTTCTTTAATGTTATCTATGTTATACATACAAAAACACTCCCCACCAGCATCACTACCACCATTACACACAACTTTACCTTTCAAATATTTTTACTTACTAGAGTTAAAGAAAGAAGAAAGTAAAAAAAAAAATCAACTAAGTTTTTTCTAACATCTTAGAAATTAACCTTACTTTTTTTTTGGCTGTACTGGGAGTTGAACCCAGGGCCTCACTGAACTACATATCCAGCCTTTTCCTCAAAAATTAATTTATTTTGAGACTCTGTTGCACTATGTTGCCCAGGCTGACCTCAAACTTGAAATCCTTCTAACTCTGCCTCTCAATTAGTTGGGATTACAGGGG